CATTCGTACATCTACCTTCTTCTTACTTTTTAATCTCTCTTCAAGTTCAGCTTCCAAGAAAGGCCTTCCCTGACCAGCTGCTGCGCAGAACCCCTGCAGGGAAACTCGCCCTCAAACACACCATCTGGTGTAGCTGAAACCTTCTCGTCCCTTTGTTTTCCTCTCTATTGCGTGTCTCCCTGCTTGGCCCCACACTCGAGAATGTACGTCCAGTGAGGAGAGAGGATTTAGGTTTCCTGATCTTTCTTGTGTCCCTGGTGCCCAGCAGCAACTTGAGCATTTCACTTCGAATTCTGTTTTATTTTCCCTTCACCCAGGCCCTTCTCTAAGGCCAACATACGATGCTGCCCGTGGCTAACTCTCACTCTCTCAGCTGTCGCCTTGCGCCAGGGTTCTAAAATTACACGACAGAGCTATGGCGACTCACTTTTCCCATTTATTGAAAGAGGAACACAAGGAAAAAATGCATTTGCTAGGATGTGCTACTGAAAACGTGGGCATCATGGACTGCAAAGGTTTGGGGCACTGGGTTAGGCTTTCTGTGGTTGCAAGTCCATCATATCGAAGGTCATTACCGCAGCCAGGGTGAAAAATTGTTCCAATACTACATCAGTAACCCCCGGACTTCCATCACCAGGTGGGAGATTGACCTTGACCCTTCAGAATGGGCTCAATAAAACAAGATTTGAGGTGCTTGGAGAAGCTCACTGAGCACAGATGCTGGGCTCAAAGGGGTTGGTAAAACGGGCACAGCAACACTGCAACCTCCGGGGAGCAGACTCTAAGCCTCCGGTGTCCCTGAAACGCATGGGCCAAGAGGAGTATTTCCGATGCTGGGAATTCACTTCCAAGCCAGCATTTCATGAAAGCGTGTGTTTGAGGATTAAATTCTTAATTCTTCATTTCCCACCCGAATGGGAATTTTGGGGGAGTGAGTGAGATTTAAAAACACATCTATATGCTCTCCTTTTGAGATTTTAAGTACCCCCAAAGCACTACTAGTTCATTTTTGAAAAGTTGTAGGGCACTCCTTGGGTAGTCCGTGGACATGGACACATGTTCATCATGAACATAATCATCTATGACATAAGTACAGTATCCTTTCATAGCACACAGGGAGTCACTCCAATGAAAGTCACTGATACATGCGGCCTTTATGCTCAGGTTTCCACCAGTGGCTCAGCAGGAACAACTCTCCCTCTTAGCCGGGGATGCTAAAGAAACATTTCTAAAAAGCACCCCATGCTTCTCCTTGACAGTGTATTACATTATTTATGTTGCCTCTGTTTCTGGCAGAGGGTGGAAACCTGGATTTTTGCCATGAACATGGCTTTGCCACCTGAGGAACTCAACTCTGCTCCTGGCTCTCATGTGGCTGAAATGGCATAGGTGGCTTCTGTTTTTTGTCCCTGCTGGCTCAGTTTGGGGCTCACTGCAACAATGCATGGTCTTGGAAACAGAATGACACAGGAAAGCATTTACTATGCTAGGATTACAGAATCATTAAAGATCTAAAAGAAATCATAGGCATTCAAGCCAATCTGCTTCTACGACTTCCCATGGGGGCAGAGCCTCACCTTGCGGATGACTTAGTCTGACACCATCCGAGATGGTCCTGCCTCTACTTACTGTTAGAGAGTCTGGAGATGGGAGCACAAAGTTAAGAATATGAGTTCTGAGATCAGATACACCTAGATTCTGTCTCTGGTATTTAAGCAAGAAACTGATCCCCCCTTAAGCCTCAATAATAACACTCCCTGCCTCCTAGAGTTATTGCATATCTTAAATGAGTTCATGTATATTGAGTGATTGGCACGAGGTACATGTTCCATTGAAATATGACTTAGCAGAGGTATGCTGGGGCTGACCTGAGCCAGCTCTCACCAGCTGATTGTACCCATCTCTCCTCCACTCTGACATTCATTCACCACAGGCTTGGTAGACTGAGCAATACCACGGTAGGTAGATGTATTTACACCGAAGAAATCTGCGAACTCTTCACATTGGGGCTTCCTCGACCCAGAGAGTCAGTTTAACAGCACCTCACTGGTTTCTGATGTTCAAATTATTATTCACTGTCATTCACTAGCATTTGTTGGCCAGTAGTTTCGCCCAAGTAGCCCTTCACTTATGTCAGTCCCGCTCTGTAAAATCTGTCCATCATTTCTAATTGTGTGAGAAGAGGGGGTGATGCAGGGTGGAGGGGAATTAGTGGCTGATGGAGACCAACATGTCTAAACAGGCTGAAGCCAGCCTGTTCGCCAATGTCTGGCAAGGCCAGCTGGCACACCATGGAACCATCTAGCACAGAGATCCCCCATGATTTCAGCAATCATGGATATTAGGGAATGGAGAGCAGCTTCTGAAGCACATTCTGCCTGCATCCTTGAGCCACTGAGTGTGACTCGAACAACTGCATCCAGCTGCTGGAGACAAAGCCCTCAGGAAACCTGGTGGGACTAAAATCAGAAATGATGATCCAATTAAGGCCCCCAAAGCACAGATGCTGACTCTTACCTCCTGGGCTCTGCATTAGCATTAACAACGAGTTCCTCAAATCACTCAGTGGTGTGGATAGCTAGCTGCATCTCATTAAGGAGACAACTCCCTTTGCCTAGAAATGTGTACTTAGGGCACTTAGGCAAATGATCCTTAGCAAGATAAGGTCCTTATGCTGGCTAGCTGAAGGGATATTTCCCACAGCTGAAGGATTTTCCAAGGATACTGTATGTGAGCTGGCTAAATAGAATAGCGAGCATTAACACTGCATTCACGGAATGCAATCCACGACGAGGTGACCACTTAAGGTCTTTTTTCAACATTCGGTTCTTTTAAATAATGGGACATCCGACATGGGTACAGGAATTGACGTTTTAATTAAAATTTTATCTTGGGCCTTATGTTTTACAAAAGGCAAGTGGAGCCCTGTCTTAGCTGGGGTTGTCTCAGAAGTAGACACTGAGACAAAGGTTTGAGTGCTAGTACTTAATTTGAGATTGTCCCAGGAAACACCAGAGGGTAGCAGAGTAGTGGGGCAGAAAGCCAGCCAATACTGGGTGCCAATGAGCATTTTCCACAGTAAACAAGCAGGGCCCAGTTCTCCTGGGGGCTGTGGGCAATGGTATAGAATCTTGCTGTCCAGCACCACATACTGACCCTGAGTACTTGAAACGTGGCCAGTCTGAACTAAGAAGTGAATGTAAAATGCAAACATATTTCAAAAACACAGTATGAAAAATGTTGAACGTCTAATACTTTTTATATCGTTTATATGTTGAAATTGTAATGTTTTACATATATTATGTTACATAAATATTATTAACATATTATTCAATTAAATCCTCTTGTTTTTTACTTTTTTCTCTGTGACTCCTAGAAAATCTGAAATCATGCATGAGGTTCCCCTTTGAGGCTCACATTATATTGAGTGTTTATTATGTTCAGGTTTGATATCATTTAATCCCTCGAACAAGACTGCATGGTGAGTTATTGCCTACTGAGTTGTAAACTGAGGTTATAGAGAAGAGTCTCTTGTCCAAAGTAAAAAAGTGACGGAGTTAGAATTGAATTCCGGCCTGTTAATTCAGGCATTCATTATCGGGCACAGATTGATTGGCTACCTTGGTCCAGAGCCTATGCTTTTAGCCGCTTGATTTCTCTCATCAAACACTGATTTTTCTCAAGGAGTTGGCAAGCATCTTAAGCATCTTAATTTCTGATAATGAGAGCAATGTATTATATGTACAAAATATATTTTGCAAAAATGGCCACAGCAACATTTCAGGTCCTACATGCTTTGCAGACCCTCACTGCTCCCCATCAGGAGACTGAGTCTATTTTCTCTCCCCCTGAGGCTGGGTGGGCTTGAATGACTGTTCCAAAGAAAAAGGAGTTCAGCAGAAGTGACGCTATGGTACCCCTGGGGCTGAGTCCTATAAAGGGCTAAGCTCCCTCTGGCTTGCTCTCTGTCTCTAGGGATACTACTTTGAAACCTGGTGGCCTTGCTGTGAGGAGACCCAGATGACATAAAGAGGCCATGCATAGGTGTTTCAGAAAACTGCCCCAGCTAAGGTTCAGGCTGATGGCCAGTATCAATTGCCAGCCAGACATGTGAGTGAGGGCATCTTCAGATAATCTCAGCCCCGAGATGTTGGGTTTTTCTGCTGAGGCCTCAGGCCTTGTGAAGCAGGTTTATCAAGTCACTCTTGCTACGTTCTGTCCGAATTCTTGACCCACAGATGTAAGAGCACAATAAACAGGTGTTTTAGCCACTAAGTTTTGGGGGGTGATTTGTTCCACAACTCTATTAACTACAAGCTTATGTTTCATTTTCATCTTAGCAGTCAGGAAGCTCAGTAGCTGTATAGTCCATAAGAGTTAGCAAACTAATTTATGACCTTGAATATACATTTCATAAACCTTATTTTATCTTTTCTTTCAAAAGAAGCAAAATGTGCATAATCCACAGAACAATCTTTGCCCTTCTAAGATTAAATCAATAAATTTAATACCTGAATCTTCTTTCATGTCAACATCTTCATTATCACCTATTAGAAATAGAAAAAGACAAAGAAAAATTCATATGAAAGCTAGAAACACCTAACTTCTTTAATTTGATTAATAAAAAAAACAAAGAAAAAACCTTAGTAGAAAAAAGAATGCTAAATCATGCATTTTCACTCTCTTATCATGCTAAATTAAGAAGAAAGTATACATAGAGCGCAATTTAACACTCGGTGTTTATATTTCTTTTAAAAATTATTATATATTTATAACAAGCTATATATGCAATACTTTGTTTTTGCTCAAAAAGTTATGCATGGTCACATAAACACTTCAATTCCTAAAAAATGGAATCCACAGCCTTTTTTTTATTGGCTCGTATTTATTTGCATCAAAGCTTACTGAGCATCTTGTAACATATCTTCACTTTGTTTTTTGAACAATTATTGTTTAAAGATTCTTTTTTTGTTTGTTAATAGCCCTACACTTTGTATTACAGCTTTTAAATAGATTTATTTTTATTTTTAAAAATTTACCTTTGTTGTTGAAAGTATTATAGGTGTCCCTCCTTCCCCTCAATGCCCCCACCCTGCACCTGAGTTTCAGGTTCATGAGCCATGAAGTGGGGTAATAATACTGCCTCCTCTATGGAGTTGTGGGGTCCCATGAGATAATGCCACATAAAGCACTAGGTCAGTTACTGAAAATTGTTAAGTGCTAAGGATTAGCTATTATTACCATTAAATTCTAGAGCTACTTGTTAACATATCTATCTTCCAAATGTTCATCTCAGGATCATAAATTCTGCAAAGATAAAGACCATGTCTTACGTTCCTTTATATTCCTTGGCACCTATGTAATTAATTTTATACACTGGAATCAATAAAGACATTTCAACTGAATTAAATTTCTGTTATTTCCCATGTCACTCATACGTATTAGAACAACATGTATCTCTGTGATGGCTTGAAAACAATGAAGACTCCGTAAAGATCTGCAACTTCCTCCTGGATGTGTTTTATAATCTAGGCATTTTAAAGCCAAATTTACTCAATATGGCACTCTTCTTAGTGTTAATTATAAATAAAGATTAGAGGTATTTTAGTGGGTGGTAGTTAAAAATGCATTTACTTTGAGGTTTTAGAAAGGTGATTCGTGATAGCCATTGTTGGCTTTTAAAGAGTAAATCTTCTTCCATTCCCATATGCTAGAAACATTAGTGATTTTCTAGACAATTTCTTTCTTTCATTCTTCTTATGAATGCAATTTTGGGAGGAAGAATACCTATTTCTTAGAATATAATTTTCTAACTAAATGATTATCAAAATGTTACAAACTAAACTCTTTACAGATTCTTCCCTGAACTTAGTATATTTAAACAGAATTGTATTTACAGAACCATCTAAAATCTCTATGATGACAGACTCTGTGGAATCTCAGAGCAGGGCGAGAAAGAGTCTCTACAGGTTCTAGGAAGAGATAGAGGGAGAGTCCAAAATATCTTTGTCATCCATGTACCCATTAGTCCATCTGGCAAACAGGCACTCATTGGTAGTCTATCGTGTGTAAGGGTTTGTGTCTGGGGAAACAGAAAACACCAGGAAGAATCAGACTCTTAAGCAGTTGTCTAGAAACTTATCCCTGGGAAGAAAACTAGGACATGCAGATAAATCTGGACATACGGCAGAGAGTTGTCAGCGCCATTACGAAAGGTGTCAGACAAGGGACAGAGACTTCCAGCGGACTCCTGGGAAGGGCTCTTAGAAAATGTGACACTAGGGCAGATATTTGAACTTTACAGACTGTACTGATAGCATCATCCCCAGAATCACACCGCTGTGTTGAAAGATCAGATTTGGTGTTTTCATTCATTCATTCACCCATTCACTCACTCACTCACTCATTTATTCACAGAGTGGTTCAAAGGATTTCCAGGATCTGGACTCAGACTGGGCACAGAGCCACTGCCCTTTTTAACAAGCATCATATTTCTTTGTTAGAAGACAAAAATGAATTGGGAGGCTCTTAGCCAAAGTGATGCAAATGCCATTTCAAAATAGAGAGCAATCCATCAGATGATATTGTTCCGTGTGTTCAGAAATCCAATTCCAGGAAGCCCCCTTCCCTTCCTAGGCGGAGGCCACCGGAGGCTAATGCTCCATGTCATCCTAAGGGGTGTCTCTGAGGTTGATTTCATTGATAGATGCGCTTTTTGTCCGCAGCACCACTCTCTGTTAGATGGCCCTGTTGAGTTCTACGCAAAATGTACAGATGTAACTGAGGTTCCTATTTTGATCAAAAATGTGGGAAAGAAGGTGAAGAGATTGGCCCGAGAACACGTATGCACAGCCCACA